CCATGTCCCACCCGCTCGCTTCCCACCCCATCCCCCCTCTGTGCCTTGACCCCGGGCTCCGCGGCCTCTCTGCACCCTCTGCACGCGGAGGCCCCTGCAGCCCGGGACTGGGCCGGGAAGGGGCTTGGGCACCTGGGGGGTGACGGGAGCGCTACGGAAACTCCCTCTTTGTTGCCAGTGTAACAGGAGGAAGAGGTGCCGAATTTAGTTTTTCTGTGGGCACTGGCTGACTGTTGTCGCCGAGGGCTGAGATGCAGAGATTTCTCCTCGCTTCTTCCCTGCCCCCATCCAAATTTTGCGAACCTCCCTCTCCCTTGCGGATCCCAGCCCTTAACCTGGGGATGGAAATGTTTAGACAACTGTGCGAGGATCAAATGTAATAGGACTTGACTGCTGGCCACTAATAACTGAGAGGACCTGTTTGTAAATTACCCAATTGAGTGGATTAGTGAGTGTATTTACAAATACGATAAAAAGCAATCAGGAATGCTGCATCAAACTGTCTGGTGGTGCTGTATGAAAAATAGGCTCTGACAACGCCTGGGATGTAATCACACCGTTTCATTAGCGCAGAATTCAACGGTGGGCTTTGATTTGTTTATTTTGGGGGGGGCGGGTGGGAGGCAAGGGCTTTTGTTTTTAGAAATAAAGGCTGATCGGTTCTTGGTGAAGAAAAATTCTAGTTTGGAAGAAAAAAATTCCTCCAGAGATCTAGCATGTGTGATACTGCCAGAAGTGTTTTGCTGCTGCTAAATGACTATATATAACTCAGTTTTAAATAACCTGCGATCTGTTAGAGAGAAAATGACTAGAATTGCAGATGAATGGAGGACATTTATGTTTTATCAAGTACCCATCCTATTTGTCCAGTTCTTTTTTTTTTTTTCAGTGTTTGCTTACCCATGTGTTGTTGTTTTTCATAGGCTGACTGGCTTAGTTAAACCTTCCTATTTAGTTAGAATAGCAAAGAAAGACTATTATGTGGTGCTATGAAGGAGAGGTCAGTAGACCGGAGTTTTCTTACTAACAAATGACGGTGTAGAGCTACACAATAGCTTTCAACTGGTTGGGGATATTTGGGTGGAGGAGGGAATCAAGTTGGGTATTTTCATCTAATATTTACTTAAATGTTATTTTCACCAAAGAGCTATCTTTTATACTGCCTTTCTTTAAAGAACCGGGTAACTTCACATCCTCTTTTGATGGTGAAATACCTTTAAGGCAGGAAAGTATTGGTAATTTACGGATGGCTTGTTCAATGACTGAACAATTAATTTCGGGAGGGATGCTGCACCAAAACTCTGTTCTGATAACAGGTAGTGAGTGAGTCTTGGCATTTGTCTGGCTCCCTATTATACTTTCCAGGACGCTGTCACATACATCCTCTTTGCCTTTTTCTCCACTTGGAGCCACTGTTTCCTTCATGCCATGTTCTACAGACAAGATGCATGTCACGCACCCCAAGGGGTGCATTTTTTTCCCTGTGAATTCCTATAACCAATCAGCAGCTGTCACATGCCTTGAAGTTCAGCTTTAGGGACTTGTAGTGTTCAGTGGAGCATTGAGAAGCAGGTTTTGTGCCAAAGAGCTCATCCCCCCCCCCCCCATTTATTTGAGATTTTGGCATCATTCTTCATTTGTGAAATGTTACCAGTCTGCTGACATTTTAATGCTCCTTTCAGGAGCATCACCAGCTTTAGAATAATACTGTATCTATGTATGTTATGTTGAAACAAAATAGGGATACAAGAGGCAATCTTCTCCAGTTGAGAACCTGCACACTACCTCGAACCTCTCTTAGAAGCAGAATATGTTCTTTCATCCCTTCTGCTGGATTGTAAGCTCCTTGAGTATAGGAACTACTTTTGTTTTCCCCATCCTCGTATCCACCGCAGTGCCCTCCATACCTTGTACAGTTGTTCAGCAGTAGTCAGTGAACAGAATTATGTACACAGATTTGAACATCTGGCTGCCAAGTAACACTGACTGTGAATCCAGCCCTGATCCAAGTGTTTGACTTTCATGGGCTGGTTGGCTAATTCCACCAAGCATCCTCTTCTAGGAACTGTTTGAATTAAGGTTCACTCACTTGCCTTTCTCACATTCCTTCCTATTTTGTCTATGATCCTGTCAGTTTGCAAAGTTGAGTAGGTTTTTCCTTTTCTCCTGGGAGCTTTGCTCAATGCTTATATTTCCTTTGGAACAGGGGCTATACCATCTTAAAAGAGCTTGTCTGCAAACTCTAATGATAACCTGCAAGGCACATCAAAACACTGTGCTTTGAGGTAATCTGCATTTCAACTGAGCTTTTCTCAGTGGCACTGTCAGCAATGTTAAAACCCTGGCAGGTTTTATCAATGTAAATATCGTGTGTTTTCTTTTTCTAGTAGAGATTCACTTTTTATTTTCCCCTGCTTTGTTGTAGACTCTCATAAGAGAATTCATGGTCTTCCAAACTGTTTCATCTCTTATAGTCTGTCCTGGTATTATTTTCATAATTTGCCACCAAAATAATTATTCTGTTTTAGGATTTAGATCAAAGGAAAGTGTCATATTCTGTATTGTATTTTATTGCTGAAGGAGCAGGTTATTGGCAAAATAATTTTACTGTATTGGGTGTGTACATCTAAGAATCTTAAGCGTGGCTAATGAGTCAGGGCTCTTATAGGATTCTTAATTATGTTTCGTTTTTTTTAGTAGCCACTACAAGTTGTTTGCTAATATTAATACTTGCTCAAAACAAGCCAACACATGATAGTCTTTGCCTAAAAATCTCTTTGAAGAGAACATAAAAGTGAGATAGTGTTCTTGAGAGGTTTTTTTTTTCAGCACTAATCCTCCCTAAGACTCTTAAAATTTATTCCCAACTCTCCATAATTCGTTTGTTCTGTTCTAACCTGACATAATTTCTACTCTTATAATGTTAAACTTAAAAGTTCACTTGTAAATCTTTAGATTTATGAAATGTTCTTTCCCATTGACAAACCAGTTTGAATGAAGGAAGCTTTTGAAAGATTACTTAGCAAATTGCCCTAAGTCTTTGTCGTTAATGGCTAGATCATTATTTCTCACAGCAGGGCTTTGGAGACCAGGAGAGTTTGCTAGCGCTCTGAAGTTCTCTGTCCATCCCTTCTAACCTTAGACATTGTGGGAGGGATGGAGGACAGTCTCTCTGATTGAACAAACTGCCCATCTGTCTGACTTCAGGAGAAATTTTACTTGTCTACCGTCTTGTCCCGTGGTCTTTAAATTGAGAGCTGTACATTTAACTGTCTTTTTTCTAGCTTTTGTATCATGGGAGTAATGAAAAACAATCAAGTGGTTCATAAATACTGGTTAACTTTTGAGTATGTTAACTGTTCCTTAACAGATTTTTTAAATAATACTGTAGTCTCCATCTGCTTTGTGGAATTTGAAGTCAGATGATAATGAAATGTGAAAAATGTAGTGGGAATTACCAACAGAGACTAAGTTGTTCCATTAAAATATGTCCAGCAAAGTAGATTTGCTCTGATTGGAACAAAAAAGGTCATGGCATGAAGATAGTTTTGGTTTTGGTTTTTTTCTCCTTCATAATACTGTACCGGTAGCAAATAAGAGCAACTCCTCAAAAATGTAAATAAAAGTTAGTGTTAAAATTGGCTGGAAATAATGTAAAGGTAAAATATTGCTGTTTTTCACAGCCATTTTCATGTTTTAATTTCTGCGGTAACTCTGAACTTCCATTGTACAGCTCAGGAAATTGAGACGTGGAGACTGGGAAACCTGGCAGACGTCACAGAGCTGCTAGTGATCCAAGCTTCAGCTCAGGCCTTCTGACTCGGAGTGCTCTTCTGTGTTCACATGCATGCTTCCCAGATCGTAAATTGCAGCTCACTTTAACTTTAGAAATGGTCCACTCAATAAAGTTTTGAATGAAGCAATTTCCAAGTTAAATTCATACCACGATTTTGAAGTCCTTGCAGTTACTAGCTGGGGAGCAACATAGTACAATATAGCAAAACTGGTCCAGTTAGAATTTTCCCAGGCTTAACAAATACTACAAATACTCTTTGATGTATCACTTCTCTCATTAAAAATGTTATTGGCTGGCCCTGGCCAGTGTGGCTCAGTTGGTTGGGTGTTGTTCCCTGCACCAAACTCTTGCCGATTCGATTCCTGATCAGGGCACAGTCCTGGGTTGTGGGCTTGGTTCCCTGTTAGGGGCGTGTGGGAGGCGGTGGACCCATGTTTCCCTCTCATATCAATCTTTCCTTCTCCCTCTCCCTCTAAAAATCAATAAAAAATTTTTAAATTACTGGCTGGGGAAGATAATTATTTATAAAAATATATTCTGTATTCTGGTAATTGGTTAATACCCGTTTTCTATTGCCTTCCCAACCCCTCCCCCCCAAGAAAAATATTTTAATTTTATAATGTTGGCTCAGATTTTTTGGGACTCTGGGGGATATTAGAGAAAAATTAGTCCTACTATCTCACTCTTCTCAAATTCTAGTTTAGAATTTGGAGATATGAAGTAGTCTGAGGCAGAGATTACCTTAAAGTAAGGTAGCTAGGACTAGAAACCTGTTTAGTCTCTTACTCTTGATCTTTCTGTAGTACTGGTCATTCTTAATGTCTTAAGTCTGGAAACACTTGAGAACTCAAAAAGCACTGATGCCAGGTGCCCACTCCCAAAGATCCTGATTTTATTTGTTCAGGAGTACTGCCTGGACCTCAGAATTTTTTAAAGTTCCCCCGGTGATTCTCATGAGCTGCCAAGGTTGAAAACTGCTGTTCCCCCGCCTCCCCTCTCCTTCCCTTCTTCCCCCATTGACCTCTCCCTGGCTGCTCCCACCCCCCAGCACATGCCCTCACTCCCCCCTACTCTCTGTGTCCATTGGTTATGCCTATATGCATGCATACAAGTCCTTTGGTTGATCTCCCCCCGCCCCCAGCCCCCACCCTTTCCTCTGAGGTTTGATGGTCTGTTTGATGCTTTTATATCTCTGGATCTATTTTTGTTCATCAGTTTATGTTGTTCATTATATCGCACATATGAGTGAGATACTTATCTTTCTCCAACTGGCTTATTTCGCTTAGCATAATGCTCTGCAGGTCCATCCATGCTGTTGCAAATGGTAAAAGTTCCTTCTTTTTTTATAGCAGCATAGTATTCCATTGTGTAGATGTACCACAGTTTTTTAATCCACTCATCTGCTGATGGGCACTCAGGTTGTTTCCAAATCTTAGCTATTGTAAATTGTGCTGCTATGAACATAGGGGTGCATATATCCTTTCTGGTTGGTGTTTCTGTTTTCTTGGGATACATTCCTAGAAGTGGGATTGCTGGGTTAAATGGGAGTTCCATTTTTAATTTTTTGAGGAAACGCCATACTGTTCTCCACAATGGCTACACCAGTCTGCATTCCCACCAGCAGTGCAAGAGGGTTCCTTTTTCTCCACATCCTCTCCAGCATTTGTCGTTTGTTGATTTGTTGATGATAGCCATTCTGACAGGTGTGAGATGGAACCTCATTGTTGTTTTGATTTGCATCTCTCAGATAATTAGTGACTTTGAGCATGTTTTCATATGTCTCTTGGCTTTCTGTATGTCCTCTTTCGAGAAGTGTCTATTTAGGTCCTTTGCCCATTTTTTGATTGGATTGTTTATCTTCCTTTTGTTAAATTGTATGAGTTCCCTATAAATTTTGGAAATTAAACTCTTTTCAGATGTAACATTGGCAAATATGTTTTCCTATGCAGTGGACTCTCTTGTTGTTTTGTTGGTTTCTTTTGCTGTGCAGAAGCTTTTTATTTCGATGTAGTCCCATTTGTTTATTTTTCTCCTTAGTTTCCATTGTCCTAGGAACTGTATTGGTAAAGATATTGCTACAACATATGTCTGATATTTTGCTGCCTATGGATTCTTCTAATATTTTTATGGTTTCTCGTCTTATGTTTAAGTCCTTTATCCATTTTGAGTTTATTTTTGTGTATGGTGTAAGTTGGTGGTCTAGTTTCTTTTTTTTTTTTTGCATGTATCTGTTCCATGCCCTTTCTCTAGGTAATTTCATCTCCTCCTGTAGTTTTAGTTACAGCCCATATGGAGACAATTCCCAAACTGAATTACTGAGATACTAAATTGAAACAAATTGTCCTAGCCTCTAATCCTTCTAGCCATCTGATTACTTAGCACTTTCACTAGGATATCTTGTACACAACTCAAACGTGGCATGTCTAAAACTGAACTCAAAATGTGTAAAACACACATACACACTTTTTCCAGTATCTCTGGTTCCCTGAATAATACCATTTTCCTGGCATGGAAACTGGAAACCTGAATCATGTGGGAAACCTGCCTTTCATTTGTTTAGCAGGTTCTAGTCATGACATGTTGCCTCTTTAACCTTCTAAACACCACTTCCAACACCCTAGTCCAAGCTTCTGTTGTCTCTGGCCAGAATCTTGCTTACAGATCTCCCTCTGTTCATTCATGCTCCCTTCTAAGTTTTCTCCGTACTGCAGTCTTAGTGATCTTTAAAGAAATACAAAGCTGATTGTGTCCCTCTCCTAGTTGAACGACTTTAGTGGTTTCGGATTGCTCGTAGGACAAAGACTAGAATCCCAGACCCTAGCCAGTAAGACCCTCTGTGGGCCCTTCTCCATCTCTCTCCAGTGTCATCTCACACCATGCTTCTTAGTCTTTGTGCTTAGACCTCACAGATTCTTCCGTCAATTGTATTCCTTAATTTAGGGCTTTTGCACATGCTGTTCATTTGTCTAGAACGCTCTTCACTTTTCTCCCTGCCTGTGGCTGGCTACTACTCATCCTTTAAGTTTCAGCCTAAAAATCCCTTCTTTGGAAAAGTTTCCTTGATCATTCAAACCAGGCTATATCTCATCATTAAACTCTCACAGCTTTATGCATTTTCCCCCTTGAGTACTTAAAGCAATAAACAAATGGTTACACAGTTAAAACCAGAAGTTGGCAAAACTATAGCCCATGGACCAAATCTGGTCAGCTACCTGTTTCTGTGTGGCTTGCAAGCTGATGATACCCTGAATGGCAAGCTGGAACTCTTGTTGCAGGTTCTTGTCCTACGAAGTTTGAAGAATAAAAATTTGCAGACTAAAGGATTTTAAGCAAAAGTGTGGAAATTTATTGCAAGCATATACAAACTCCCCCCTGGAGAGGGGTCCCCAAATGTGAAAAACCTGTTCTCTCTCTCTAAAATGGGAAAAACCTCTCTCTTCCAAAATGGGGGGGGGGTGGGCAGTGAAGTCTCTTCGTCTAAGGGTTTATAAATGCTGGTAAAAGTTAACAGAATAATATTAATTGCTCGTGTGGTTTTGACTCAAGTAGACTTTATTGATTTGCTGAATAAATTGAAATGACCCTGTGGGGACACTGTTTGACAACATACATTGAAAGCCATAAAAAAGTTGACATCCTTAGTAATCCAAAAGTAAAGTTATTCTATATGCAAGAATCTTTCCATGTGGCATTATCTGTAATAGCAAAAGAATTTAATTTTAAACATAATTGTTTCTGGTGTAAAATTTTTTTAAATAAAATTCAGTTGAATTTTGTCTATAATATGTGTCTCATTTTGCCATTATCCCCAACGAAATGATCCTCCCTTAATGGGTGAGTGACCTTTTGCTGTCCTTGTAAGAAATCCTTTCCCTATTGCTGCTCGAAAGGGCTCTTAGAATTCAGAGAATTGAACCCCATCTTGTACTGGCAGGGGTATGGACTGTATAACCAGATTGTAAGGTTTTGAATTTCACACCTGTCAGCTGGGTTATGTGGGTCAAATCTTTAACCTTTGGTGCCTCAGTTTCCCCAGCTATAAAATGGAAACAGTAAAACCCACCTCATTGGCTTGTAGCAAACTGTACAACCCATGTACAAATCTTAGACATTACAATATTAATATAAACTAAATCTCTTGGATATCCTCATATCCATTAATCCTTCCATATAAACAAAATTTAAAAATCCTGTGTATGGGTTTTGGAAAAAGGACCTAACTTACAAAATTTTTAAGCAATCAAGAAGATGACTGCTATGGGTGAAATAAATAGCAGTCATAGTAAGGACAAGCTAAATCGGGTGGTTAGGAGTTCAGGGAATTGGGGAAACCAAGAAGGGTGGACTAGTTGGAGACTACTCTCGGAAATGACCTTTGATCTGGCCTTGAAGGATGGGTTTAGAAAGAATAGGAGGATAGAGAGGTTTTAGTAGAAAGTAGGGAGAAGAGGGGACATACCAGTAAAAGAAATGGTTTGAGCAAAGGCAAGGAAGCCTTTAACTTAGTGCATGTCAGTTTCAAAAGTCTTCCTGGCTGGAGTAGAGAGAAGAGAGGTTACATGCAGAGAAGGCATTCATTATTTCAAGGGGAAAGAAACAGGCTGACATGGAGGGTTTTTCAGAATGATTGAAGGAAGATTCACCTGACAGCATAGTCTGTGCCTGAGGTGGCAGAAGGGAAAGCAGAAGCATACGGGCAGTTGTTCACTAACTGGAACCAAATAGTGTAAATGGGGAACAGAGAAGTGGCATTACGCAGTCGAAATAGGACAGACTTTCCTGACTTAGTCTCAATATGTGGGATGAAGAAGACAGATAAAGCCAGATTAGAATGCCACATAATTGGAGAAAGGTCTTGTGATTGATAGACATGGGAGTTGAGATGGAGACTAGTACCTGGGCAGGAGAAGATGAATTCAGTTTTATATAGACTGAGTTTGAGGTGATACTGATGTTAATACCTCCATGCAGCAATTTCCCACAGGCAATCGAAGGCCCAGCACTAGATTTCAAAAAAGGCTTTAGGTCATTTGCATAGAGGAGATGCTTTTAAGGATGGGTGGTCTCTGAGGGAAAGGGAAGTGCATGAAATAAGAGAGCAGACAACTAGGGAGGGAATGCAGGGAA